CGTGTTTCTCAGCAGTGCCAAGGTCCTGCTTAGCCTGTGCTAGGCTGAAGCCGGAGAAGAGGGATGCTTTAACACAGGACGTAACCACGTCGTGCACATGCTGGGGGAGGCTCTTAGGAGTTCAAAGGATTCCCTGTGGATTAGTTACGCATTCACCTCCTAGCAAACCCTTTATTCTGGCATTCCAGATACTTGATTATGTGGAGATGTTGAAAACTCCAAGTCTTGAGCGCTCTGCAGAGGTGTTGCAGGTGTGAGAACCTCGCCGGGCCTCTGTGGAGCGGCGCGGGGCAGAGCTGGTCTGCCTGGCCGCAGTGCTTGGCTGCATGGGGCTGCACTTTGCACGGCCCTTTCAGAGACTGTTTTGTCCATGGGTGGCTATGTATATCCTGCATACATACGTATGTATCCTGGACATGCACTGCTGTGTTCACATACACACACCAGAATGCATCCATTCTATATCAATATGTAGGAAGTACATTCAAAAGTGATTAAATGCTGCCAGATAAGAAAAAACATGGGTTGGGCTGTAATTCCCTAAGTTTTTTTACATATATGCAAATACTTCCCATACTTTTAAAGACACTGTGGAATTCCTGACTGCTGCAGCCCATGGCTTATTTCCTAGCCCATATCTTATCTTATAGCGTGCACCATCTCCCATAAAATGCTGGAGGGGCAGGTTACAGCACCCAGTTCATGCAGCCCATATCTTATACTACAGGTAATATTAACTTAGCAGCTCTGCTGGCTGCTGCTTGCTCTGTACACTTGAAACTGTATGAACCCTTGGCTTGCGGGTGACTTCTATACTGCAGCTGGAACAAGTGGAATCCCAGGACATAACCACCAGCAGTTGTACCCAGACTCAGCCCCAGCCAAACTGTGTTAGCAGGGCTAACGACGTGACTTAATTACACAAGAAAAGCTTGAGTACTCTTAGAGAAAATGACAGAAAGATTTAGAATTTTAAAATCAGCCTAGCAAATCAGTCCCTAAACAAAACAACAAGAAACTTGTTCCAAATTTGTCATTAGTTGATCTCAAATTGCTTTGCTGAGGACTTAAGTGCCATTATGTCCTCTCCAATGTTTTAATGGATGGGGAAACTGAGGCTCAGAGAAGTGAAATATCCTTCTGCACCCCTAGCAGTTACAGCCTTGCACTTGCCGACTTAATTGCTACCAATGAAACCCGATGTTGCCTGGAACGTGGAGCAGCCAAGACGCCTCCCCCGGAGCCACGCGGCACCTGCAACCTGGCGGGCAGAGCCGCGCTGCCGCGCAGAGCGGGGCGCCTTGCGAGGAGGCACCGCGGTGAGGCAGGGACTTCCGTAACGCACTCAGAATGGTCAGAGATCACAGGGAAACAACAGCCCGATTTGCACACAGACAACCCATCTCCCGCCTAGAACATTTCGGCAGTATCGGTAACACGGATGTTTCATAGGTCTTGGCACACAACAAAATTGCTTCTTATATTTATAGAAATAGTGAAAGACGTGGACTCTCCTTACCCCTTCCATGTGGATCCTGGGAGCCGGTGCCAGCCTGTACTGGCTCAGCTGCAGCCCTCTGGGGACCCTCCGGATGGAGGCYGGCGAGGAGAGGAGGCCGGCCCTCTGCATGGAGCCAAACCTGGCGACATTCTGCCCGCAGCGGGCGCCGTCCAGCAGGCGGATGAGCAGCAGGTTGGACGGCAGCTGCTCGATGCTGCAGAGCACCAGCGTGCGGCACTCGGGGCACCGCAGCTCCTTCTGGCACTTGAGGATCCTCTGCAGGCAGGGCTTGCAGAAGGTGTGCTGGCAGGGCAGCACCTTGGCGCTGCCRTCGAGCTTCTCGAAGCACACGGGGCACTCCAGCAGGTCCAGCAGTGCCAGGTCGTCCATTCTCAGTGGGGGACCCCTGTCGCGGACAGAGCCACAGGCGCCCGCATGGCCCCGCTGCTGGAGCAGGCTGGGGTGCCCTCTGAGATCCCGGGCTCCGAAATCCCGGGCTCAGGCAGCCGTCCTGCACGAGGGAGAAGGGAGGAGGAGAAAAACTTGACTGCTACAGTATGCAATATATCCCACCTACATTGCCAAGCAGTGCCTCACGAGCCAATTTGCAAGTGTATACGTTGCGCTCACATCCAATTTGCAGTGAGTCACCCGTGATTCAGTGCAAGCAAGAGCTGTATTCGGGCTCGTGCCAGATGCAGAGGAGACCCAGGTTCTGCTCACCGGGCAGAAAAATCCCTGCAGCGCCCAAGCGGCGCCGCAGCGCGGGCGAGCTGCRGGACGGCGCTCCCCGTCCCTCGCCGTGCTGTCACGAGCTGCCCTTTAGCTTCTCTTTAGCGCTCTCTACTCTGCAGAGTGTAAGTGACAGCGCAGGGCGACGCCGCAGCGCAGGGCGACGCTGCTCCGACAAACATCGCTCCGAACCTGTTTACTCGCAGCTCCGCTTGGAAGCGGTGTGAGCTGTGCGCAGTCCCTCCTACACCTACCCGTCGCCGCGTTTCGACATCAGTCCTAGTTAAGCTTTCTATCTGCCTGTTTTGACAGCAGTTCTATAAAAAGTTATTTAAACATCAATATTATCCTTTTTTACCTGGGAGAGAGACCCGGGGAGAGCTGCAGTGACATCCTCGCCCAGTTGGGCTGCGCCGGCTCGCGGAGYGACCTGCAGATTATTCCTCCCACGGCGTGAAGTCACTCAACCTGTTTAGCTCCTTTCAGAACTGCAAGCTGATTTAAGCTGAAGCATATACAACTCCTGGAGTCAAGTCCTGACTTGCGAAGGCGGCAGCGCCTCGGCGCGCGGACAGGACTCGGCGCTGCGGCACTTTGGCGAGTGCGCTTGTGAGACCTAATGAGAGCCTGGGCACCAGAAGTGTTTCCCATTCCAGCGTCAGAGCAAATGCTGAGCGCACGAAGCCTCCTGCAAGCAGCACAGCGCGTTCACTGCGGCACTCCTGGCTCTCGTAGGGTGCGAGGAGCGGCGCAGTGGAGCGCCCGCCTGCTGAGCGCAGGAGCAGGGCACTGCGGAAGGGGCGAGCGGCGCCGAGCCCGGGGGCTCCGCAGCCTGGCGCTGCGTGGTGCCCTYGCCACCCAGCCCTGGCGCTGCGAGGTGCCCTTGCCACCGCGCCYCGCTCCACAGGGCTCTGCCCGCAGGAAGGGCCTCCCAGCTGCAGGACACAAGGGCAGGGGCTGGAAATGTGGCGGGAAGGGGCTAGGGATTTGTGGGATCCTTCAGTGTCACTGCTGCCGTGGCAGGTCCTGCTTTCCCGCGGAATTCCTGTCTCGCTGCTGTCTCCGCTCRTGCTGATGTGTTGCCTAACAGGAGCAATAAGTAATGCAGGGAAGATCCGAGATATTTTTTCCTTACAACCTCTACCGTATCTCAATTGTGTTTTTACAACACAYGAGCACTGCAGACATCCCGAGCGAGAGGAAACCACTCCACATCCAAATGAGGCTGCTCTATCTGCCGCTTTTATGGCTAATGCCTCATCTGGTATTCGGCACATACCACATTCCTCCCTTCTCTTTCTTTAGCGGATTGTTTGCAGGAGAAACCAGAGGAGCTGGGAATGTGGGTGCTTTGAAACTTCCTCCCCAGCTGCAGAGCGTGATTTTGTTGCAAGCAAGAAGTTTCCTTTTTGAAATGGTGGCTCTTTGGCTATCTGGAAACATTGACAAACATCCCCAGGATAATGCAAAAAACAATTACTGCATCCCGTTTCATCTGAGCTTCCCATTTACCTTGGCATGTCTTTGTAGTCTGTCATATGGTGATTTGTGCTTGGCTGACTGCGTGCAAACTTTTAATGAACGCTCTTGAAAACGCCTTCATCTCGTGTGCGGGCTCTTCTAATGCAATGCCCGGCATAGGCTGTGCTGGCAGCACAGCTTCGGGGATGCTTCTTTTTTATGTTCTCTGCCCTATTTCCATCCCGGGATTAAGACTTATACGTTGTATTTTTATCTGATTAGAAGTGATGTTATGAAATACCTTATGGTTGAGAAATGATAGGAAGTGAAGTTGACGATGGCAGTTGACGCTCAGCGTGATCCAGCTGGCTTTGCAAGCACTCTTGTTTTTTGTGTGGACCTTGCGCCGGAGCCYGTCTGCCTCCGTGCGCTGCAGGGACATGGGGCAGGAGGGGCCACGTGAGGYGTCGCTCCCGCAGCGCCCGCCCCTGCCCAGGTGCCCGGGGCTGCTTCCCGCGGCGGTCCCAGCGGAGCAGGGCCGGCTGCAGCCTCACGGGCCTCTYAGCCCGTGCCCGGTGCCGGTTCCCCCAAGGTGGCGGCTCTTCCAGCCCCGTGTCCGTGCAGGCTYGCAGGCTGCCACGGCTCTTCTTGCCTACAGGAGGGTCCTAAACGGCCTCATGCAGGGAGCCTCGGATCTTGCCTGCAGCCTCCAGTCCCAGTGCAAGCACCAGGATTGCACACTGAGCGTTTGTGTAGCATTTAGCTCTTCAAAGCCCTTTCCAAATGCTAATTCACCCGTGAAGCACCTGCAGGCCAGGCAGCATCCCCGTTTTGTACATGGGGAAGTTCAGGACATGAGGCCGCAGACAAATCCCTGCCCAACTCAGGAGCGAGCGGGCTGTCCGTGTGTGGTAACTCCAGCGGGGTGTCCATGTGCAGCCATGTGTGTACATCCTGGGCTGTGCTTGCGGGGACACGCAGCAGGGATGGCCAGGCCAGCACGGGCTGCAGCGCCCGGCACGAACCCAGCGCCGGGCTGGCGGGAGCCGGCAGGACGTCTGGCCTGTGCCGGGAAGYGGCAGAGCTGGCTCTGCTGTAGCCAGAAAGGGGTCGTCATGGAGCGGGTGGCATCGCCCTGCGCGAGCAGCTGTGGAGAGGGGAGACTGGGGCTGCGGGAGAGCCTGGGGAAGGGGCGAACGGCACCCGCAGCGCCAGCAGCGCTGGGAGCTGCCCCAGGTGAAGGAGCCGCTGCGGCTGCCCCGCGCTCCTGGCAGCCCGGCTGGCTGCGGGGGCTGCTGGAGCCACGCGGAGCCGCCCGCGTGGGCCGGCTGGCCGGGCCTGGCCGCATCCGCTGCGCAGGGCAGCGAGCTGCTCGCGCGCTGCGATAGCTGGGGACAGGTTGCCCCCTGGTGCAGGGAATCCCGGCAGGAAATGCTGCTGCACTCGCTGGCAGCCGCGGCTGCGGCACGGCCATGGCCACAGCTATGGCCTTGGCACCAGCTATGACCACGGCTACGGCCATGACCATGGCCATGACCACAGCCATGGCTACGGCCACAGCCACGACCCTGGTCCTGGTCCTGGCCCCGCGAGGCGGCAGCGCCCGGCCGTGCCTGGCCTGTGTGGCACGCGCAGCCCCTGCGCCTCCCGGCACCTGGCGGCTTCGGCAGCGCTGCCCTTGCTCGCCAGCCCCGCCGGTCCCGGCCCCACCGCTGAGCCCTGGGCTGCGGTGCCGGCTCAGCCCCACTTTGGCAGCCCGGCTGTGCCGACGGTGCCCGTGCCGCACCGGAATGGGCCCTGGCGTGAGCCAGAGTGTGTCTCTGCATCCCGCCCCGGCACCGCGACCGCGGCAGAGCCGCCCCTGCCCGCTGGCGGCCCAGCCCCGCACACGCCGCAGCGCCCGCCGGAGCGGGGCGGGTGGGCAGCCACACAGCCCTGCGCGCCCCTCGCAAACGCTGCTGCAGCTGCTCACGCTGGCATCCCTCGTGGCTGCTTTGAACTTGGCTTCCTCTCCGATTACCTTAATTGGAGCTTGTTTGCTTTGGATTTGAGGGATGTAATGAGGAGTGATTTGTGTCAGACCAGGGCTGCTCCCGCAAGGCCGGCAGCGCGCCCAGGCCCGGCCAGCCCAGCGTCCCCCGCGCGGGCACCGCGGCACCCCCAGCCCCTGCCTGCCCCGGCGCCCTCCTCACCAACACAGCGCACCAAGCTGTTGAGAAGATTCAGCTTTAAAAGCTCTGCCTTCAAACTGTAGTGTGTGGTCCAAGCAGGGTGTAGGCAGAAACCTTGGCTTAAGCCCCACCTGAGGAAACCACATCATTGGGGAAGCAGTTTACTGAGACATGGAAACTCAAAAGGAGAAAGACTGTAACTATTGCTGCATGTGCTTGGTGTAAATAAGCATTACGGGGTCTCCAAGAAGAAGGGAGCACTCACTCTGCTGATGCATTTTGTGCAAAATACACTTTTCATAAACATCCTCTCCATTTCTTTCCATTTGAGAGGAGGGAATAAAAGCCCCAAGCAGATGCAGAGCAGGGCACGGGGAGAGCAAGCAGCTTTGTCAAGAGAGCAGGAAAGTGCCTGTCCAGCAGGTATCGGTTTCCGGGCAGCTGGCAGGAGCTTCACACAACGGCCTGCGGTTACGACGGGGGACACAGGAGACCTGGGTCCAGCCTGCAGGGAAATGAACCGGCCGCAGCACCGACCTGGCGCGGCCGAGCGGGGCAGCTCTGTTTGGCACCCCCTGGTCAGGGTGGTGCGAGTCCTCCTGGCCAGTGGTGCCTTTCAAATCCAGAAAAGCAAAACCAGGCGGGGCCAAGGGCCCCGGGAGCCAGCAGGAATTACAAAGACGGATTGAAAGCCGCAGCGAGGGAAATCTTAATTAGATCTCCTCCAACCTGGAGAGAAACACGTTCGGATTAAAGCGAAATGGAGCTTTGTGCTCTCAGGGCTTCGGAGCGAGAATGGGAGAGGAATAATTCACAGCGGCCGTTTGCGGAGCTGGATTGCTTTTTCTCTGAACTTGTCTTTTTAGCTTTTCACCTTGTCAGAAAACTGAAAAGCTGCTGGTGTGTTTGGGGTGCTTCTTATCGCAGTTTGTAGCAGAAGCATTTTCATGGCTTCAGAGGACAGGCAGTTTCCTAATTTAATCCTTTCCTCCCGAAGTTAACTCCTTTTCTCACCTCATAAGGCAGCCTCTCCACCATTCAGTTAAGATCAGCAAAACTCGCCTCATATTTCACCCCCATAAGTACTTTCTCTTTGTGAATATCTATCAATATTTAACACAGCGGTGTCGGCTTTGCTGTAAGATGAGAGGAGCGACCAGAAACCTTGAATTATGCATTGTGTGGCTGGGAGAGCTTTCTGTGGGACCAAAGCTCTCCTGGCTGAGCTGATTTCCAGGAGCTGCAACTTGAAAAATCATAGCAATGGAAGAGCCTCAGAAGAAGCTCAGTCAAAGGCACGAGGGGAGGCCCCGCAAGGTGAGGTTCAAGATATCCTCAGCCTACAGCGGCCGGGTGCTCAAACAAGTGTTTGAGGACGGCCAGGAGCTGGAGCCGCCCGCCAAGGAGAGCTCCCCGCGCCGCCTCCGCCACTGCTTCGAGCCGCAGGATCCGCTCTGCGGGCTGGGGGCGGCCGCGGAGGCCGGGCTCTGCTCCCCGGCCAAGCTCACTGCCCAGAGCATCAGTATCTTCAAGGAGGACAAGAAGTACAATCTGGCGGGCGCCTCGCGGCTCCTCAGCGACTGCYGCCCCAGCGAGAGTCCCTGCAGGGTGAGTAGCGGCCAGCCGCCGTCTCCACGCCCTGCGGAAGGTGCCATCCAGCGGGGCCCCTTTCCAGCAAACAGCGGCTGCAGGCTCAGCCCTGGGGTGGAGCTCCTGCTGCCCGGGCAGTCCCTGAGAGCGGGGCTGCTGATCCGCACCCGCTCTGCCCCAGCCTGCGGCCGCTGCTCCCTCTGCCGCTGCCGGGGCTGCRTTCGCGGCAGGGCGGTCACCCCGGGGCGGCCTCTGCTCTCCGCGCTCCATGCGATGGCCGTCCGGTTTAGTGGAACGTGCCCGGGCACGGGGAGCGTTTGCCCAGGGACAGGCCACGCGGCTGCTCTTGTCTGCATTGTTAATTTGCTCTGTGTCTTGGGTAACGCTCCTGTGTCCTCCCTCGCTTCCCTAACCATAACCGCTGTGCGTAACCACCCTGCTTTGTGCCAGCATCCAGCAGGGCGCCCGGCTCTGCTCCACACACGAGGCTTCTGCGGGTTCCTGCCGCGGCTCCGCTGGCGCTGCTGGGCCGCTTCTCGCTGYGGACGCCGTGGAGTGAAGCGTGCGTGGGGTGTAAAGCAGCCGGCCGCGAGCCCGGGCTCGCAGGAGGGGAAGGGGCGCCCCGCAGAGCACTGCCGTCAGAAGGGTGCTTGCCGGGCGGGATGGGCTCCCTTGTGCCAGGGGCTGAAGGGAGCTTTCCCACCCGGACGGACACCGAAGCCACACTCAACACTCGGTGCCAAGTCCCTGGCCACCTTCCCGGCCGCTGTGGCTGCCTCCATGGGCCTGCGGCAGGGCCAGCCCGGGCGGGCGCCGAGCGCCGCTCCGCAGCGGGCCCGGGAGCTGCACAGCAGCGGGATGGGGCGGGCGGACGCTCACGACACCCTTCCACAGGCCCCTCCGATTCTAGAGTTCAGCAAGATCATCATCTACACAAACAACCTGAAAATCATCCGGGCACCAATGGACCAGAAAGAGCTGGTGAGAAGAATCATCCAGACTGAGGGAATGAATGACTGGGCCTTCAAGTGCCGGGAAAGCAGAGAGAGAGTTAGTGATGGACACAGAAAAGACGTGGAAACGAAGGCGGCCTGCAGCCAGTACGTGCAGGTGAGAGCGCGGCAGGGGCTCTGCCGAGGCCTCGTGCTTTCCAGGGCAGCCCCGTGCCGGGCCGGCCCGTCGATGCTTCACTAAGGCTGGGGCGAAGCATCGTTTTGCTCCCCTTGCCCTGGGGACGCGGTCGCTGAGCGCTGCCGTGCGCTCACTGCGTGCTCGGCACTCTCACCCCTGCCAGTTCCTTTTCTCCATAGAGGATTTTGCCCAGTTTATTGTCCAGGCTGAGGCCTGTCCGTGAGCCCATCTCCCCGGGGAGGAGGAAGAGGCCGCAGGGGCCCCGCAGCCTGGCCGGGCTGAGCACGGCCGCCTGGCGCCCACACTTCCATCCTGCAGTACCCGTGGCACGGCAGGGACGCGACCCGCCCGCCAGCCCGGGTCGGTGCCCCTGCTCAGAGCCCCACTGAACACGGTTCCGCTCTTGCTCTTCCGCAAGCCTCCTCGCTCTGGAGCAGGGCCCCGTGCGAGGCACCGTGTTAGTGTTGGGAGCGCTGAGGGGCCCTGGGGAGCTCTGCGGGCCCCGCGCGGCTGCTCTAACGCCTCTGCACGCTCTGTTGCAGCGCGGAGCCGCTGAGCGCGCCTGCCCGCAGTGCCGAGGGTCGGGCTCGGCGCCCTGCTCGCTCTGCCACGGCAGCAAGTTCTCCACGCTGGCCAACAGGTTCAAGGAGTCGTACCGGGCGCTGCGCTGCCCCGCGTGCAACGAGAGCGGCCTGCAGCCCTGCCGCATCTGCGCCGCCTGACGCGTCGCGCAGAGCYGCCGCGGCGCCGGCGCGGCCACGGGGCTCTCAGCAGCGCCGGCACCGCGGGAATAACGGGACAGCGGGAGTGACGCCGCCCCAGCAAGGCCCCTGCACGGCGCCTTGCTGGCATCCTGCTGGGAGCCGGGTGTCCTGCCACGAGCCATGCACGCTGTCGGGAGCCGAGCACACTGCCATGAGCTGGGTGTCCCACTGGGAGCCACACACGCTGTCATGACCTGAGGGTCCTGCCCTGGAGCGAATGCCCTGCCACAAGCCGGGTGTCCTGCGCTGGAGCGAGCACCCCGCTGTGAGCTGGGTGTCCTGCCACGAGCCACGCGCTGTCACAGCCCACGCACGCTGCCGTGAGCTGTGCACGCTGTCACAAGCCGGGTGTCCTGCCACGAGCTGCGCGCGCTCCAGGAGGCCCACGAGGCCGCAGTGACCTTGGCGCCGCCCAGCCCCGCAGCCAGCGCTTTGGAGCTGCTGGTGATAGCAACGACAACGGGAACTAACCGCGAAACTGCGGCAATAAACCTAAGGAGCGGTGCATAATGATGGCAAACGGACCGGGGGCGGGGCCAGGGGCGGGGCTGCGCGCGAGGGGCGGGCCCGGGGCCCGAGAGGCGTGGCCGGGGCTGGGGGCGTGGCGAGGGCGCGAGGGGCGGGGCCGGGGCCGTGTGGGGAGCCGCGGGTTCGGGCCCCGGTCTCGCCGCGGTGCCGCTGCAGAGCGGTACCGGTACCGGTACCGGTGCGGGGGCCCTTCGAGCGGCAGGTGGCATCCCGCCGCCCGCTGCCCTTGGAGCCGCCTGCAGGGCCCCGTTTCCCGGCGAGCTGCAGAGGGGCGCAGAGCTGCCCGGGCCGGGGCCGCKCCCCGCGCCCTGCTGGGCCGGGGCCGGTGCCGGTGCCGGTGCCGGCCCGGGGCTCCCCGCCCTGCCGCACGTGTCGTCCCGTCCCGCAGCCCCGGGCAGCCCGAGGGGACGGGCCCGCAGGCCGGGCCAGGTCCGGGGGAGCGCTCAGGTACCGGCTGGTCTGTGCTTAGCTAAACGTGTCTGTGCAGAAGCACTCGGTACTTACTGATCTTTATCGTGGAAAGCGAGCTGCACGGGACACTCTTTTTTTTTTGTAATTTACCTTTATTCCCAACCACTCTCTTCCCAGCCCAATAAGCTTGCTCCGCTGCAGGAAACCCAGGCTGCTGCTGTTGGAACACTTGGGGAACCGAGCCTGCAATTTAGGGGGAGATTTATGGACACAGCTCTCTGGTTTGCGCGATTGGGCCCTGAATGGATAATGGAATTACYGCAGCGCAGCCGTGGAGCGGCTGGCGCGGAGACGCCTCCCAGCCCTGCCGGGATCAGCGCGGGAACYGGGCGCTTCTTTCTAACCAATGTTCCCTCCGCAGCTAGAAAAAGCAGCAGAGCTGCATGGCAGAGCAGCCTGCTCTGGAGTTAGGGGTCTCCSTAGCTCAGATCCAAGATTTCCTAAAGGAAAATCAGGATTTTATAGCAGCTAGCATTGCATGTCATAATTGCGCTGCCTGAACTCAGTCCTAAAATGCAATTCTCCCATCTTTGCTCTTGCTTCATATTCTTGTTTATCTGTGATTATTTCTGAGCTGATGTCTCGAATTTCGGATGTCTGATCTGTGCCTTCTGAACACACTGGGTTGTAATCCCTTACCAAACCCTTCTGCAAATGAATGCTGAGAGAATAACACTAATTATTAATATGCCCATAGCATGTTGCAACATAAACGCAGTAATCCTTGTACAGTGTCTTGATAAGGCACGCGTTCTTAAAGGCTGTAGAAATGTGAGCCCTGGGGATGTGCAGCCCCTTAGGACCTCCCGTGCTTGCTCTTGTGGCGGTCTTTTCTTTGCACTTTGTGCAACCACAATTAGCTTTCATTTATTATTATTTTTTATTGTGGAATATCTTGCATAGGAGAGTCTGTGTACAGAAAAGTATATTTATGTTCATATGGGGTTCATAACTATATTATTTTACAGCTTGTATGCTTATAAACCAATAGGTGCCTTTCTTTCCTGGTACTCTAGGCACTGTATGTTGATGCTTCTAACTATTTGGTTTTGTTTTTGAAGCCTCATCCAGCAAGCAGCAGCAGAAACTGCCGGCCGAGTCCCGCCTGCCAGCGCCCGGCGCGAGCGCCCGTGCTGCTGAAGAGCTCTCTGAGCGCTGGGCCCCCGTCGCGCCGYGATGCGAGGCCTGTCCGGGCTCCCCTGGGCACAGCCGCCGCGTTCGGTTCCGGGCTGGAAGCTCCGCGCGCGGCGGCCGGGCCCCAGGGCGCCAGTGTCGGGGCGGGCGGCTGCGCTCCCGGTGTCCCCCTCGTCCCGGGGGCTGCAGCCCCGCGCGCGGGGGCTGCACATTAATGGGGTCAGCTGCACTGCACAGAAAGAAGACATGGAGAGGAGACTCTAGTGGTGTTCATCAGTGGGAAAATTATATATTATGCCTCTAAAGAGAGAGCACCTTTATGGGACACCTGAAAAAACTGTTTTTGTTGTGCCAAGTGGTGCATTTTCTTTCAAAGTGAATTACTGTGGGTGCTTCCAAGCAGAGGCTCTAAGTGTCTGGAAAGGATCTGGTAGCAAACGAGTATTACCAGAGACAAAGGYCCGGCCTTTGGGAGGCCGGGGAAGCGGGGCTGCGTGACGGGAGGCCGGTGAGCACCCGCGGCCTTGGCTGCCCTGCTCCGTGCCGTGTTCCATTGGGTCTCCTTGAGTTCACTCCTGCTTTRTGGGAACATTGAATCTTGCTGTCTACAAAGAAAGGAAAAAAGTAGCCGGTTATTTAATTTCCCCTACAACCAGCACTACCTTAGTCCAGTTGTTCCGATGGCTCACTACCTTCAGTATTAAGATGTAAAAAACATTGGTCTGTTGGTTCGTTCGGGTTTGGCTATCCCAGTGTTCCTGAAACCTGTCCTTTGGCAATGGAAAATCCCCCATGGCCTGAACGGTGTCTCCAGAGCCGCTTGGTTTGATCTCCCCGCCTTCCYGGCAGCAGGATTGCTCCTGTATCCCGGCATGGTCTCCAGATTCCCTTCCTCACTGGGCGCTCTCCTTCRTGCATCCAAGCCCGGGAGAGCTGAAGGGCCCTTCCCACCCTGGCTTCGTGGGCACAGGATTAGACCACGTCTCCCTGATGGAAGAGGAGCCTGTGGTGCACGAGCAGAGGTCAAAAATGTCCTGCGCTGGACATAAGCAATTATAAAAGAGCTCGCACGAAAAACCTCCCTCTGCTGAATGGCCTTGTGCTTAATGTGACTTTTAATTTACTTTCAAAAGCTGTGTGAGCTTTGGAAACTCCTTGGCACTATCTGAACAGAAATATTGCTAGACTTCTTATACTAAAGACACTTTAATTAAACTCCCGTCACGAAAACAATTAGACCAAATTTGCTGTACTTAACTAGTCAATAATTTAGTGGCTGGATCTCATTTATAGACTTCTCCCTGTGGCTGGGTTTAACGATGCAGCGTTGCCAGCTGTGCGCTACAGAAATCCATCGGAGATCAATATTTTCCTGAACTTCCCTTTTCCCTCTCCAGAGGGGCGAAACAGCAGAAGCAGTGACTGAATCCCATGCCGAGCGGCTCCGGGTACCGGCGTTTGTCCCCAGCGGCCCCGGGCCCCGGTCCTGGCAGACCCGTTCGGTCCGCCGCGCGGGCGCCTCCGTCCCCGGCGCCGCGTCCGGACGCACGGTGCTCCCGGCTCCGGGATCCAGCCCGCAGGAGGGCAGCGGCCCGTGGAGCAGCCCAGGAGCTCCAGGTAATGCGCTTCCCAGGGGACACGGATGCTCGTGGTGGTTTTTTCCATATTTAATGTGTTCTGCTAAAGCTGTACTTAACCTGAAATACTTTTCTCTGGACCATGTATCCTTAATTTGTTTCTGAGACTGCCATACAAACTATGAGTGTAACAGATTAATTGCTCTACTCGGGCATCAAAACAACAAACTTCCAAAGCAGAGTTTACAGTAACAGTTATTAAGTCACCAGAGAAGTAAAATGCTGTTATTGTCCTCTTGCGTAGGGCAGACTTCACCCAGCAAGGCAGAACACCAGGTCCACAGGCAGGATTGCTGGACTGTGTGTTGGAAGCTTTGCTCATTGCTTTTAAAACAAGCTGTGAAGCGGGTAGGTTTACTTACTGCTTGAATTTCTTCCGTGCATTATGTTCTGCATCTCTTATAACTGACAGATCACCCAGACTTGAAATTAAATTTGTGTTTTAGATTTGGATTCTTCAAATCTTTTAATTGTTGAAARAAGACTTGATCTGCTCTTTTGTCTAGAGAGAATAAGCAGAACAAAATGGATTTAGTTCTTATGGTAATTATGGTTTATTATTGTAATAGTTTTATTGCAAATATGTGTTTAAAACACAGTAGGTGTGACTGCACCAATTTCTGTAATTCATTCTTATTCCCCATTCCCCAGTGGCATGAAATGGTTTTTCTTCCTAATGTCCCATTTTACCAGCTAATAGTGTAATAATAATTTGCATTCTGTACCATCTTTACACTGAAATAGTCAAAAGTAGTCAGTCAACATGAGTTTTTATCATGTCACATGGTTTTCTCCAGTAATTTTAGATTTTTTTGGCAGCTTGATACATTTGCAATAGCTGCAGTCAATCTCCTGTAGCAGTTCTTTATACTTCAATAATTCTGYCTATCCGTAAGAATTATGCGAGGATAAAAGCTCTCCAGTTATCCAGCACCACATCCCGAAGGAATTGGTGTTCAAAGGCCTTCAGTTTGTGGGAGCTGCGTCACGCTGATAAACTAGGTTAAACAGCCGTGTGTCCCGAAGCATCCGGCAGGCTGCACCAGGAGCTTCAGGTTGGACATTAGGAAGAATTTCTACCTGGGAAGAGCGGTGAAGCCTTGAGCAGGCTGCCCAGCGAAGTGACGGGGTCACYGTCCCTGGCACTGTTGAAGAAACGTGTAGATGGGACACTGAGGGACATGGTTT